CTCACTTCAGCCTCCCAAAGGTGCGGGATTACAGGCTGAGCCACCAAGCCGGCATGTTTTGCATGTTTTTAAATTTATGTGAGTAGAACCATATCTTAGTCAGCTCAGGTTGCCATAACATAATACCTTAGCATGGGTGACTTAAACAATATTTTTTTATAATTCTAAAGGCTGCAAGTCCAAGGTCAGGGTGCCAGAATGATTGGGTTCTGGTGAGAGCTGTCTTTCTGGCTTGCCAGATGGCTGCCTTCTTGCTGTGTTCTCCCATAAAGGGGAGATGGGGAGAGGAAGAGAGACAGAGACAAAGGGGCGGGGGGAGAGAGAAGCTCTCATATCTCTTCTTATGAGGTTGCTAATATCAACATGAGAGTCCCACCCTCATGACTTCATTTGAAATTTTTTTTATTCTTTTGTGTTTTGCTTTTTTGTGTAAGTTTTGTTACTAGGATTTATCTATTTTGCTGCCAATAGCTATAGTTTTCTTACTTTCATTAGGGGATAATATACCACTACATATCTGCCTGGTTTCCTCTTGATGAAAATTTCGCTCCTGTGAACAAACTTCTGGAAACAATCTCCCACAATACCCTTAGGGCACATGTACCTGCATTCTCTATCTCATCTTTTTCTTTCTTTTTTAAATCTTTTTTTCCTCCTAGTTATTGGTAGCTAGCACTCTCCACCTTGTAGTGGAGTTGCTGAATCATAAGGTGTGCAGGTTCAGGATTAGAATGTAGAAATTGTATGCATTTTTCAAGATAATCCCTATGGTTGAGAATGCTTCCTTGAATCTTGCAGAACTGTCTGAAGTGCTCTGGACGATGGTGATGAACATTGGCCTTCGCCAGAAAAGCTGGGGAGGAATCTTTGGGGTTTTTGTTATTTTTGCTGTCTTTGCTGTCCTGACGGTAGCCATCCTTCTGATCATGGAGGGCCTCTCTGCTTTCCTGCACGCCCTGCGACTGCACTGGTAAGAATGGGTGTCCTGTTGAAGCTTGGTGTGGTATAGGGAAAGGGGATGGGCTGTAGGGCCAGCCTACTGGGTTCAAATCCTTGCCTGTGTGTGACATTAGCAACTTACATACTTCTTTGGAACCCTAGTTTAGTCATCTGTTAGTATAATGTTAAATGATGTAATATATGTGTACATATATGAGGAGGACCCAAGAAAACCTGGAATTATCTTTTGGAGAGTGAGTCCCTTGTAGTGTACTCAGAATTTGCTCCTCCAGATCAAATGGTCAACCCAAGTTTTTAATCTGGGAGTTTTCAGAAGGTCGTGTATGATTTTGTGGAAGAAACATCCCAAGTTGTGGCAAGCAGGTGACTGGTTCTTCCACCATGACAGTGCACCTGCCCACATCATGCTGAAAGATCAGCAGCTTTTCACCAACAATGGCATGACCCCCATGGCCCACCCTCCCTATTCACCTGACCTCTCCCTGAGCAACTTTTTTTGTTTCCCCGGATGAAAAAAGTCCTCAAATTGAAACGTTTGGCTGATGTGGAAAAGGTGAAACAAAAAACAGCAGAAGCACTGAAAGGCATAAAAACTGACGTGTTCAAAAAGTGTTTTGAGCAGCGTAAAAAGCATGCATCAAACGGAGAGTACTTTGAGGGTGACTGAAGTTTAAACATGTAAGAATAAATACACAATTTTTAATAAATAAATTCTGGGCCCTCATATACATGTATATTGGCTGCTCTATACTAAATGTTAGTTCTTGTTTGTTCCTTTGCTTTTAGATGTTAATTATTCACTTGTTATTGCAGTCAGCTTTAACAGAAGTGTCACCTCCAAGTTTTGGTAAGGTGCCACATCTGAAATAGGCTCATAGATGCCATGCTCAGCAAATCTGGGATGTCTGGCTCTTGTTCCTGAGTATAGAAGTTACACAACAAGCTACTAAAGTCTCAATAGTGGAAACAGAAAGAGGTACTGCGAGGAGGAAGACACTCACAGGAGGCCCCAGACATTCACAGATGAATCCAGAAGCTATCGGCCATCACTAGGCTGATGAATATGAAAACATTCACTTAGGCCTCTGGTTCTCTCCTATGTCACATTTCAGCAAAGACTTTTGAGTATGCTATGCATGCCCTTCAGTCACACAAACTGTCCTCAGCTGTCCCCAGTGTTTCCTACCTCGCTCTGTGGCTGTGATTTATAAGGAAAAATTTTTATATTTCCTTTGCTGAGTGGAGAGAATCCCAGTATCCCTGCTGCCAAGATGATGTCATTCCTTCCACGTCATTAAGGACATGACCGGAACTCTGTAATCTATAAATCATAGATGATCACACATGACATCACTTATGTAGGTTATAAAAGTATAGTCCAAGGTTCTGTTTGTTCTGCAATAGTGGATGTCTCATCATTTAGAATCAGGATGGAAATGGAAAACCACATCAGATAATGCCACAGGGAGGGCATCTCTCCTCATAATGGGGGAGGAGGAAGCTCCTTATAGGAGAGAGACCACCAACAGAGAGTCCTAGAGGTGGGGGGGGGACGGACACGGGACGGAAAGGGGACCTAGTAAGAGGAAGGTGAGAGGAGGGCTTAACAAACCCTCTAGATTCCCTGGCAGCCAGTAGCCCTGGTGGCTTCCTTGGTGGGCCTTTCTTACTCTGTGTTTATTTTACCACCATTCTGTTTCTTTCCTCTACTGCAAGTATCTAATGTGCCCTTTTTTTTTTACTTCTCCCCTCAACAACAGGGTAGAGTTTCAGAACAAGTTCTATGTTGGAGATGGTTACAAGTTTTCTCCATTCTCCTTTAAACACATCCTGGACGGCACAGCCGAGGAGTAGGCTCAGGCCTGCACCTCCTGCAGCCACCTCCGTGCCAGTGGAAGAAGTTCAGTCTTGTCTCTGATGGCAGCCATGCAAGGTGGTCAGTGGAATGATTGTTCTCGGCTAACCTGAAGCATGGAACTATGTATTCTTTTGTTCTAAGCCTGGGGATCTGATATGACTTAACCATGTCAGTGAGGAACAACTTTGGCAAGTCGTTTTGACTTCGTGTGGGGTCTTAATTCTCAAATAATAAAATGATTGAGTAATGAGGGGGAGTGCTAAGCTGATCTCTTCTTGTATTTTAAGTATTATATTGGAGAAAATAAACATCTGAGTCATTCACTTTTTATTTCAGATGATTTTATTCAAAATTATCCCATAACATTTATTATTGACAATTTTATACATTTATTTTTTAAAAGTATTGACAGTTCACACCTGTAATCCCAGCACTTTGGGAGGCGGAGGCGAGAGGATTATTTGAACCCACAAGTTTGAGGCCAGCCTGTGCAACATGGCGAGATCTCATCTCTACGATAAATAAAAAAATTAGCTGGACATGGTGGCATGCACCTGTAGTTCCAGCTACTTGGAACTACACTGAGGCAGAAAGATCACCTGAGCCCAACAGGTCAAGGCTACAGTGGTTGTGAGTGTGCCACTACACTCCAGTCTGGGAGACAGAGTGAGACTCCGACTCAAAGATAGATAGATAGATAGATAGATAGATAGATAGATAGATAGATAGATAGATAGATAGATGATAGATAAAAAAAGTATTGACAATTATAGGCCAAAGCTGAGCAATAGAGTTACATAAGCTAATTCAAGAGAAGGCTCATGTGTATTTTACTCCCTCATTTCCTCCTTCCTCAAACACCTTTTTCTTGTATGGGGCTAAGCATTACAAGCTTAAGAATTTTCTCAAGAATTTTCACCCTAGATGAGGAAGAGCAGATAATGTTCTCTGTTTAAAGAGAGCCTGCTCCCCTCCCCTACTGGCCCATTGCTAAATCCTGTGAAATGAGCAGTGACAACATGACATCACTGGGGACTTTGTTTACTGTCAACACACATTCTGCTGGAGAAAGAGATGCGTAGGCTTGGGCACGTTCTGAAAAATAGTGTGCCTGGTAGGAGACCACCAGGTGGTCTGGCCCATTGCTCTCTGGGTCCGTGGGCCCCAAGGTAATCTCACAGGGTACCTCGACTGGCAAATTCCTGAGCCTGATAAGTTTAAATAGCCTTGTCTGAGTGACCTTTATCCCGGTGAATTACAGTCTCCATGGTAACTATACTGGTAGAATCAAGTGTACTTAACCTTTTTTTGTAGTGCTTTACAATTTACAAAGTACTCTCACATAGTATCTTAGTTCTAAATTTTTATTGTTAGTAAATAAAGTTTCAAGAGAGCTGATCAAACTCAAAATTACCTTTTGGATGGGTCTCTGATTTTTCAGTCCTCACCTGGCCCCTATGTGTCAAAGCTGACTGGTGCTCATGGAAGTGACATTGCTCAAACCTGAAAGGAAGCCTCCCTGGTTTTTTTTGGATTTTTTTTTGAGTCAGAGTTTCAGGCTGGAGTGCAGTGGTGCAATCATGGCGACCGCATCCTCCACCTGCTGGGTTCAGGTAATCCTTTAGTCTCTGCCTCCTTAAGTAGCTGGGACTACAGAAATGTGCTGCAATGCCTGGCTAATTTATTTTCATTCTTTTTTTTGTAGAGACAAAGTCTTGTGATGTGCCCAGGTCTTGAACTCCTGGGCTCAGGCAATCCTCTCGCCTCGGCCTCTCAAGGGTACTGGGATTACAGGCATGAGCCACTGTACCCAGAAGCATCTGTGTTAATGTCATGATTTGTTCAGCACAGTTTCAGTCACATATTAGATGGTCAATAAGTATTCATTTAGCCGAGTGCGGTGGCTTATGCCGATTGTTGTACCCGAATCCTGAATCCGAGAGACCACCAAAGAGCCAGCTCCGATGCAAATCACACAAGGGTCTTTATTCAGGCTCAAGTCTGGGCTCACGTCTGTAACCGGCGCAGCGGTACAGGAACGAGAGCCCTGACCTAGTAGAGCAAGTAGTTTATATACACAGTTACGAGGGAGGGACTGGGCCTGACCGGCTTTTCCTAGGCTTGAGACGTTATCCAATTAGAAGAAGGCATGACGTAGAAAACGAAGTCCGCGGACCTTGCATAATTAGTTCTCACTTAGGTCCGCGGTGATGTCAGGGGACAGGAGAGCTTGAGATTGGTGGGTTCATTTTTGATTTGCGGGGCGCGGGCTCAGTTGCCCGTGATTGACTACTAATGGCCAAATGGGCAGAGTGGAGGTAGTTAAGCCTCCTGGAATGTTAGATAAGCTACGGTTTACACAGTCACTGTGACTGCATAAATCAGCTCAGGCATACAAGCAAGTTTGAAATAACACAGAGCCCACCAGAAGAGTGGCTGGCGCCACAGAGCCTACCATAATTCAAGCAAAGGAATGTCCAGGAGGGGCTTATTGCTTAACATTCACATACTGCCAGCAGTGGTTGCAGAAGCAGAAGCTGGTTATTTCATTTAACATGTTATTATGGGACAAACAAAAACTTAACGAAGTTCTAAGTACAAACACTGTAAATATTTTGTAACTTTACAGCCACAGTCACTACCAGGCACCCGACATATGCCTGGTCTTGTGGGGTCTGAGGTAGGGATTTATAAAATCCAGTGAACGTGGGGTAGGAATTCATACAGTAAACGTTCCTTTCATAGCAAGTATGGTTCTTTTGAGTCTTTCACCTATAATCCCAGCACTTTGGGAGGTGGAGGCGAGAAGATTGCCTGAGCTCAGGGGTTCGAGCGTAGCCTGGACAACTTAGCAAGACCTCGTCTCTACAATAAATCAAAAAATTAGCCAGGCGTGGTGGTGCCAAGTCCCAGCTACTTGAAAGGCTGAAGCAGAAGGATCACCTGAGCCCAGCTGTGCTGGCTGTGAGCATGCCACTGCACTCTAGCCTGGGTGACAGTGAGACTCCAACTCAAAAAAAAAATTCACTTAATGAAGTTGAGCAAAGGAAAAAGAGTTGGGATCAGAAGACATGTGTTTGAGTTCCAACCCTGATGCCTTATTATGCATGCCCTTGGATAGGAAGTGGAGTTGTTCCCCTCATTGCCAAGTGAAGATCATGGTCTCTGCCCTTCTTGTGTGGGGCTAAGCATTACAAGCGTAAGAACTTTCTCAAGAATTTTCACCTTAGATGAGGAAGAGCAGATAACGTTTTCTGTTTGAAGAGAGGCTGCTCCCCTCCCCTACCGGCCCTTTGCTAGATCCTGTGAAATGAGCTGTGGCAACATGACATCACTGGGGAGATAGGAGGTTGTAAGGCCCTGGGTTTGGAGGAGATAGTGATGGTTGAGTGGGAAGAGTGGGCGGGAGTAGCACGTAAATGGTGGTATAAAAGCCTGTTCATTCCCATGCTGCTGTGACCACTGGATGTTTCTAGGCTCTCAGATCATGACTGTCTTCAACAGCTATCTAAAAAAATACACAATGCTTAGATAAATAATCACCTGCCTTTTGTCCTCTAATTCTAAACAACGACTATGAGAAAATGTTTTCAAGGGCAAAACTTTCCTCTGTCCCTTCCTTAGACCTACTCTTTCAGAAATCTCCTCAGTCTTCTTGAGAACAACATGGTCATTTCCTCCGAGGTTTAGCAGTCTCTTTCTCAATGCAAGATGTGATTTCTCCTTTAAATTAAAGAGATCAAGTGCAGGCTGCCAAGAAGGGGGTGGGCCCGAGGTGTCACTCACTTGCCCTGGATGCAAGGTTGTTCCTTAAAGAATCCTGGCCAGAACTGAGCTGAAAGGGAAGGAGGACCAAGCTTCTTGGGAAAGCAAGTCAAGCTCTGGTGGGGTGCCATGAGTGGTCCGACTTCTGTGTAAGACTTGCCGTGTTGAAGGGGAGCAAAAGAACCTGAGACCGGAAGGCTTTACAAGTAATCTTCAGAGGTGAGGCACTCTTTCGGGTAGCATAGAGGCAGATTTAGTCTTTCTGCCACCGTTGGAGCTGGGGTGTGGATGGGGTAGGGAGTTGATGATGAGTTTGTGGCTGAAGGCAAATGGAGGATGAAAATTTCACTTGATATTGCAAAGCAAATTACATCACACACCACACAAAAAATTCAGTTTTAAAAAGATCTACTGTGACTCACTTCTTCTGGCTAAAAAAATCTGTACAGCAAAATACAATACATAGAATAAAATGTCAACCAGTCCTTTAGAATGTATCTTAATGAAGCTTGTACTCCATCTGGAGCCTTTTGAGGTTCAAAGTAAATCCCCAATCTATTTGTTTCTTACCAGGTTTTTTGAAGTTGGGCCATGGGATTACTTTTCCATTGCAGTTTTTTCAGAACTGATGATTAGGATGTGAGGCCTTCTTTCTTATGTTATTCCCTATTTTTCTATGTTGGTCCGACTGATATCCAACCATCCAAACATTCATCCATCCTCTTCTTAGATCAGGAGGGATTTAGAATGACTTAGGGAACCATAGCACAGAAGATGTAAACTCACCCTTTTCAGAGTTGCGTTTCAGAGTTAAGATCACAAGCTCTATCTCTCAATAATGTGCCTGGTATCCATCTCTGAAACCCTTTGTCCTGTCTTTATGTAACTTTTGGTGGAAACTCTAGAAGTTGCTAAGAAAATACTTTTAAAATATGCAAAGTTGGAGTTAGTGTTTGTGTCCTTTTTTTTTTGAGAAGGAGTCTCATTGTCACCCAGGCTGGAGTACAGTGGCACACTCATGACCACTACAGCCTCGACCTGCTGGGCTCAGACAATCTTTCCACCTCAGTCTACCAAGTAACTGGAACCACAGGCATACACCACCATACCCAACTAATTTTTCTTCATTTATTGTAGATGAGGACTCACAAATTAGCCTAGGTTGGTCTTGAACCCCTGGACTCAGGCAATCCTCTTGCCTCCGCATCCCAAAGTGCTGGGATTACAGGTGTGAGCCACCATGCCCAGTTTGTGTTCTCTTAATGGCTTAGAATGTAAGACTCTTTACAACGTGCAGATGTGAACGCTAAATCCTGACACTGTCAACGCCTCTGCTCCCAAACACACTCCACAAAGGAATCCTGCTGTTGAAAAAACTCTGTATAATCTAACGAGGCAGAATTGGAACTTTGTCTGCTGCAGGTAAATTGTACATGTGTTTCTTCTATCCCTTGGCAACTTCCCCTGACATTGGGAACACACCTGGCGGAAGGTGGGTGTTACAGTTGGCAGGCAATGAATGCTCTTTCGGTAGCTGAGCAAGTGCCAGGCTTGCTCC